AGGGTTTACATTAGGTGGACCCCCCACCCAGTAATAGTAACTATAAGGGATAATGGTAATTATATTAGGGTCCTCTTATAGTCCTATTATACCACTATTACAGGGTGGGGGGTGGGGTCCTCCTAAGGTTTATAGGGTTTAGGGTTTAGGCTTAAACGCTAAGGCCGGGCGCCCGAGGCTTCGTAGCTCCGGCATTCCTAGGCTAAATGAGGCCCCTGGAAAAGAAGGTCGAGGCCCAGCAGCCGTGTGAGCTGTTAGGGTAGTCAGGCCCAGACCCCTGGGAGGATCTAAAAATTCAATCCCCTATATAGACCCCTTATAACCCCTATATAATCCTTATATAATTTCCCCTATGGTTCTAGGGGATCTAATTTTTAGATCCTTTTGGGGGTCTGGGGGGGACTGAACAAGTGGAAGTGGCTCATATGTAATTGACGATTATACATGGTACATTGTGGATTGCAAGTCCAACCACTGCTCCACGAACCCCAAAACTAAACAAGGTTCTTCTGGAGGCTTTGGGTAAGAAAAGCTCAAGTCTTCGCGGGGTTTTGTGACTTCGGTGATTCCCAAGGCAGTCATCACACGCTGGCTTTCGACTATGTCTTCGAGTCCAAGAATGATTGTGTTTACTTTGCCTATTACGCACCAGTCTCAGTCCAGGGTTCTTGCTCTGTTGCTTTAGGGTTCAGGGTTTAGGGTTAAGGGTTCAGGGTTTAGGGTTTAGGGTTTAGGGGTTTAGGGTTCAGGGTTTAGGGATTTAGAGCGTTGGGTTTAGGTTTTAGGCCTTTGGGTTTAGGGATGTTACCCCGCAACAATGGAGAATTCAATGGACAAGAAAGTCAAAATAAATTGGAAAATGGAGTTTATGCAGGGGAAACCCTAAACCCTAAACCCGGTTACATTCCTGTTTTTTTGCCAACCAGAACGGGAGATGATGAGTTATACGTGAACAGGCGTATGGTGATTGTCCTAAATTACTGTCAATACGGGGTCCTATATTTAGGTTCCTATTATAATACGGGGCCCTATATAAATTTCCCCTATTTGGGAACAGTAATTTAGGGAAACTTCCGTATGACTTGAGCAGCGACAGTTGTAATTGAATTTGGGTTTAGGGTTTAGGGTTTAGGGTTAATTGAATTTGGGTACATGTTCCGGTGCATGTGCAGGGCTACTCACAACTGTAGAGAAGCCCGAGAGGTTTTCATGTGTATCTTTCACCCTATATACTGTACTTACAAAAATTCCACTGAACGCTGCTTTCCATTACGCCTGAAGTTTCAAACAATGCCCTTGAAGCCTTTATATGGACGGTAATTGTCTGAGCCTGCTCACTAGCCACCGTAGCGGCAGCGGCGGCGATGTTGGTGGTGGTGGTGATGGTAGCTCCTGATGCAGAGGCTTCTTCATTCTAATAGTCGATGCCTCGCCGGGCGGATTGGTGGTAAGACTTGGGACCTCATGGTGCCGCTTGGCATCCCAGAATAGGCATACAGTACATTACAAATACACAAATGACTTCGCAAATACACAAATGACTTCGCAGTAATCTCGTATGCCTCCTGATCACCCTACACTCGCCCTTTCTGCAGGTAGCTACCGAACCCTTCACCAAAGCCTTAGCCCTACCTTAGTCCGTAAAAACCTACAACCACCGCAGCGATTTAGTGTCCAAAAGCCCCCACTTCGCTCCACTTTATGGTGCGGCATGCTGGCTGCCACTTGGTTGCTCTTTGGGGTAGGGCTTGCAGGTATAAGGTTCAAGGTTTGTTTAGGTTTGTGGGTTTCAGGATGAAGGTTTTCGGGTTTAGGGCTTACGGTTCGGGGTTGGGAATGGAGCTTTGATTTTCTCAGCATGGGGTTAATATCTGGTTGGTTTCAGGCTAAGGATTAATCCTAGGCGTCCAATGCAAGTAGAGATCCCTGTGGCAATCTAGGTCGTGAAAGCCAAAGCTACGACTAGATAACATCCTACCTATTTACAGGAATATGTACGTAGACATTGCCTGTGTTTCGTAATGCACCTATCTAGCTGTGACCCTCACATTCCTTTCCCCGCAAAGCTTGAACGCTCAAGAGTATGAGCCCATTCAGGAATTTGGTAAACTTCAGGGACTGTACAATGTTGTCTAAGCCATAGCCCCCTAATCCCTAAATTCATAAAAGACCTTGAACCCCATAATCATAATCCCTAACCCCTAAGCCCTAAATCCTACATCCTAAACCCCCAAACACTAAACCCCGTAAAGTTCCTCATGCTGGTATTATATTAGCAGATCAGGTTGGCAGAGACTTTGGCTGTAAGACTTTGAGGGTTGCACTCTTGCTTCACAGAAGGTGTCTACTGGGGCCATGTCGGGAGAGGTTTGTTGCGGCACGACCTTAAATCCTAAGCCCTAAGCTGAGTGAGCCCGGGGCCGTCGAGCAGGGCGAACGCGCCGAAGCCGGCAGGCGAGGCAGGAGCCCAAAGCCTTCCAGCGGGTGGCAGCTGTGGGCTGCGCAGTAGGCCCGGCAGGCCGCTGCCGAGTAACCCGTCAGGTCGCCCTTAGAGTAAGGAACCCTAAAGCTTGAAGCGGAGTGATGCGTCCCTTTTTTGAGCTTTTCAGGGGAGCCTCCAGGCCTCCCATCAGGCCCTCTCTGCCAGAGAATGTTGAGCAGGCTTTGCAAGGCCTTTGGGGCCTCCAGGGCGGTAGGGCCCTGGCAGGGTTCAGAGCAGCCTGGCTTCAAGGGATGTCCATGCAGTCAGGGCGCCATCTGAAGAACACTAGAGGCTTCGAGCCAGACCCAAATCCAAACCTTGCACCCGTTTAGTCCGGACAGGTCCAGCTGATTCAAGACTCGAAGGCCTCTAGGCAAGGCTCAATCTCAATAAGCGCAAGAAGCCCCGAGCCAGACCCAACCCAAACCGTGCACCCGCCTGGTCTAGAAACCCGTAAAGGTCGAGGCAAGGGTGGAGCGCCAGCGCGGGTGGGCTCATGCAGGTCAGGGTGCGCGCCTGGGTGCTTCCAGCAGCAGTGCACCCCCTACCCCTAAACCCTAAACTTCCTAAGCCCCAAACCCTAAACTTCCTGTAAGTTGCTCTTTGCAGGTAGTTCCTGAGCCTCCTGCAGTGCTACTGCTTTGTCAAGCTGGCACGACCCCGTTGGACAGGCTAGAAATTGCCAGATATTTAGGCTTGAAGGCTTAGGGTTTACAGGTTTAGGGTTGAAGGGCTTAGGAGTTCAGGATTTAGGGGTTTAGGATTTAGGGGTTTAGGGGTTTAGGGGTTTAAAGTTTAGGGTTTAGGGCGTTAGGGTTTCGGGGTTGAGGAGTTCAGATTTATTACTGATGGTTCAGGGTTTCGGGTCTATTATTTAGGGCGTAAGGTTTGGGGGAATGTGAAGAAGTAGGGTTACTATGTGGTTCATCGTGGTTCTTATCCTACTGACGAAGCCCCCCTGAAGCTTAAAGTAGAAGCCCACACATTTGGGTTTAGGTTTATTGTAGGGTGTAGTGGTAAGGCAATTGACTTGAAACAGGGTTTCTATAGGTATAGGGGTCATAGGGATGGCTACCATATCCTGGCCGTTACAGTAATGGAATGGCTACCCAGACCCCCAAAAGGATCTAAAAATTAGATCCCCTAGAACCATAGGGGAAATTATAGAAGGATTATATAGGGGTTATAATGGGTCTATATAGGGGATTGAATTTTTAGATCCTCCCAGGGGTCTGGGTAATGTTACGTAATTGGATGGTATAGGTCCAAAGGGGGTTTTGGACTTCAGAATCAAAAAGAACAGAAGATGGACAGTGACATAGAAGCTCGAATGATATAGGGGTTCATAGAGGTCGCAATGTAGAAGGCCGAAGAAGTACCAGCGTTATGCAAAAAGCATTCTACAAGGGCCCATTTAGATCATCGTCCATCACATGCTGGCATGAATTGCTGCATTTTGCGTTTGTGTCAGGCTGGACCAGAGCCTATCCCAGACGCCAGAGTGGGCAAGGCTGAAAGAAATCCTGAATCATGAGAAGCTTACTCAGGTTTAGGGCTAGGGGTTAGGGCTTTAGGGGTTTAGGGTTTAGGGGTTGTTCCCCCTTCCCCAAACAATCATGGGGGTTGATGTGCACTGATACATGGGGGCTTCAAAGAGTTTTATGTGGGCATATAGGGGTATATAGGGTTTCGGGTCCGGGCTTGGGGTTTGAATTTAGGGTTCAGGGTTCAGGGTTTGCGGGGATTCCCCAGGTATTGTTTGGGGGTCCTCATTAGAAGGGATTTTAGTATTTTGGGGTCTAGATCAGGGTTGCCTTAAGCATGGAAACTGCCATGTGGAATACGGTTACAGTAGGGTTTAGACATTTAGGGTTTGGAAGCGTATAGCCATTTGTCATTTCCTATGTTGAAGGGATTAAAACGAAAACTGGATTCAGTGGACCTCCACCCATTAATAATGACTATAAGGGACAATGAGGATTATAATTGGGTCCTTTTATATTCCTATTATACCACTACAACAGGGTGGGGGGTGTCCTCCTAATACAAATCATTCAGGCCCTAAACCCTGAACCCTAGATCCCTGTGGGGGACGGGCTGTATGGTAAAGATAATGGAAACTGTCGTATTGTTACCTCGAGTTTTGGGTTTTTAGGGTTTTTGGGTTTTTGGGTTTTTGGGTTTAAGGGTGTAGGGTTTTAGGGTTTTAGGGTTTGGGGTATTAGAGTTTTAGGCATGGGGATTCACATAAGGAACTGTAGAGGGTTGTTATGGTCATCCATTCATCCATCTGACTCATCACCAGTAAGGAAGTGTCCCTCTTGGGTGCGCGACTATGTTTGCCACCTCCTTGCGGTGGAGATGTCCCAGTCCTTTCGAAACGTCGTAAGCCAGGTTAAGCTCTTCCTAGAGACTGGACATGGTTCAGGGTTTAGGTTGTAGGGCACCTTTATGACTTACCCATGCTTGGTCGGGAAATGGAAGAATGGGTTTTAGGGAACCTTCCATTCTCCAGTCATTGAACCCGACAGGAAATAAGCAGCTCTTTTTTGCAGATCTGATCCCCGCAGTGACCCAGGACATCGCAAAGGACATGCATGGAGCCCTAGAGTCTGAGGATGCGCATGCCTTGCACAACTTGACTTTGGACTTTCAAGACTCCAGCATGCATGGCATGGAGAGGGAGGCTGACGCCATTCAGGCGGCCGTTAATGCCGCGCAACGTCATCTAGAGGGGGGAGAGCTTCAGCGCGTGCAAGAGATAGCAGAGAGCATCGCCAAGAAAGCCAGGCGATTCAGAAATTACTATGTGGAGCTACGGCCCAAGTTGGACAGGCTACGTGCAAAAATGGAGGCCATTGCCACCAAGTGCCTGGATGCTGAGAAGTCGTCAGAGAAGCTGATCAAGGAAACCAGCAAGAAGCGGGACTTTTGGTTCCTCTTCTCTCGTTGGGATTGTTCGAATTTTATGACAGTATGACCCCCGAGGAACGAATAAAACACCTGTTTTGATCTCCTCAGGTTTTTTTTTACAGTATACTATGTATTACAGTAGAGACCCAAACTGTTTCTGCTATATGTCTAAGGGGATTACAGTGACAGGTTCTCCCTACTGTCCAAGATCAACTACGTCGCGGCTGTTGGTGGCATGCTGGTCTTTGCAGCGGCCGCTTCAGGCACAGCATTGGTAACCGGAATCCTGCTGCTTAGTGTATGTTAGGAGGGAAGGGTTTAGGGTTTAAGGTCGAGGGTGGCATGGATCCATATGAGCTAGAGTCTAAACTCCTTAAAGGCGGGGGTATATAGGGGATAATATAGGGGTATATTAAGGGGGATACTAGGAGTTTAGACAATGGCTCATATAGTAGTCCCTTCATGATTGGCCAAGAGGGCAGTTTCCTTAATTCACTACTAATCGCCTTGATCCTAAAAGTCTAACTGATATGAATTGTAGTCTAAACTCTTTAAAGGGGGTTATATAGGGGATTGTATGGGGTCTACTATAAGGCTTATTAAGGGGGATACTAGGAGTTTAGACTATGGCTCATATGGTCAATTCCTTTTTCCTTTCCACTTCTCTATATCAGCCTATATCCCTACTTATTCCTACATACCCCTGCGCATCCCTAAACCGAACTCCGATGGTAGTTTCTACGTTTTTCTAAACCCAAGACCTAAACCCCAAACCCAAAAACCTAAACCGTAAACCTAAACGACCCAAACCCTAAACCCTAAAACCTAAACCCTAATACCTAAACCCTAAACCCGCAAGAGCCAGTAAGGCTGCTGACCAAGGCAGGTGCCCTGGGATCCGCATCCTCCGCTCCTGGGTTGCTTTTAAGGAGCTGAAAACAATTTAGGGTTTTTTTGGGGTTCAGAATTTAGGGTTCAGGGTTTAGGGGTATTAGGGTTTAGGGTTTTTAGGGTTCAGGGTTTAGGGTATTTAGGGTGCAGGATTTAGGGTTTAGGGTTTAAGGTTCCGGATTTAGGGTTCAGGGTTTACCCTTTAAAGCGCTTGGGGTGGATATGAAGGTTCTGCATGGAGTTGAAGTTCTCGTAATCAGGGCGGTGATAGCAACTGAGGCCATCGGAGCGTTCAATTTTGCGGCAGCTGATGCGGCGACCATGGCAGCAAACGCCAAGGCGGCTGCTTTTGCCGCGAATGCTGCGAAGGCAACTGCCACCTCACATAGCCCCGAAGATTTAGGCCTAAACACGGTCTAGGGTTTAGGGTTTAGGATAAGCCCTGAGCCCGAAGTCATGTAGGATTGAGGGTTTAGGGCCTAAGGCAAGACAGCATTACAGTATTTCTAATTTTCTTTACCGCCAGAACATGGGTAGTTATTTAAGCCCCCCTATACAACCCCAGCTGCCATTTTATTATTCATTTCCTTTTCCATTTGATTCTCGATTATTGGGGCCCTTCTACAGTATTCTACCGAAACCCCAAACCCCAGACCCTAAACCCTAAACCCTAAGTGAGGCAACCACCACTGCCGCAGCTTTCTCCGCGAGCTCAGCCTCTTTGGCAATGGCTGCTGGAGCCGCGGCAGCCGCTGGGTTTAGGGTTTATGGTTTAGGGTTTGCTGTGAGTTATCGTGCCATCAGTAATGATCAGGTTTCAACGACCCTTCCAGTGCATGGCTGCATGCGAAGTGCTGCCATGGCTTGACTGTGGCTGGCCATTCAGTGCATTCACCCACCCCACGCCGTCTGAGGCCGTCAAGCCACCCAAACCTACTCCTTTGGGGGTTTAGAACCTAAACTCTGTTAGGTCCATCTTGGTCAACGCCACAAAGTCATCTTTCTCGTACGTTGTCGTTTCTGAAATGTGTGAAGGTCCCTGGCGTGCGCGTCTAAGGCCACTGAGAAAGAAACCCCGAAGGCTCCTGATCTTGAGAGACCCCTGCAAGGGTTTAGGGTCTAGGATTTAGGGTTTAGAATTAGGGTTCAACGTCTAGGGCTTAGCAACTGAAGCAAGCGAAGTTGCCAGAAGATGGGTTCGCTGCAAAGGGGTCAGGGGCAGCAACATCTGCAAGGTTCAGCTTACATGCACATGGATGTACCATGAATAACGGAGTTTCCTCTTTATGGTAACTCAACTTAAGGTCATTCATGGCAACTGAGGCGCTAAACTTAAGACCCCATGCCCTAGACCTTGAACCCTAACCCCTACCCATGATTAATAAAACTCCTCCCCTTAATAGGGATTATAATAGGGATCCTAATATTTAGGGCCTCAAAAGGAGGGGGTTTATTAATCATGGGTCTACATTAAACCCTAAGCCGTGTTGAGGCTGGCTCTTATGCACTTTGGAGCACAGCCTGCCATTCTGCGACAGCAGCTTCGCTGCACTCTGCGTCTATGGCCGGGGCTGCTGCCTCTGCTGCGCAGGGCGCAGCGATCGCTAAACAGAGTTCCTGGGTTGCGGTTTAGGGGTTTAGGGGTTTAGGGTTTCGGGTTTAGGGGTTAAAGGGCCACAGGGGCCAAACTAGGGTAGTCTAGGGTTTTGGTTTAAGTTACCATCGGAAGGACGTGATACTCTTTCCATTATGTGTAAATATTATGGTAGTCTAAGACGTGGATACCCCTTCTATAACCCTTATACAGGGAACCCACCTTACGGTAGCCTACTCTAAGCTCCTTAGAAGCAACCCGCCCCTGAACCCTACACCTAAACCCCGAAACCCTAAACCCGAGGCCCCAAGTTCTGAGCCCTAAACCCCAAACCCTAAAGCATAAGCCCTACACCCTGAACCCTAAATGGTATTTCCCGAAATGAGGGGACCCCAATATAGACCCCAAAATACTATAGTCCTTCTAATGGGGACCCCAAAAAAGGTAGTCCTAATTTTGGGAAACCCCCAAATCTTAAACCCTAAACCTAAACCCTAAGGTAACTCAAGCTCCTTAACAGCACGCCAGGTGCAGCTCTGTCAGCTGCAGCTGTGGAGGCCGCGACGGCCGCTGCGGCCCAGGGTTCTCAGGCCGTGGGCGGAGTCGGCTCTCTTCAGCTTCATGGCGACCTTGGGGATGGGTTTAGGGTTTAGG